GATCTACCTCTCACCCCGGGTGAGACTTGCCAGCGTAGGCTATTCTCACCCGGTGCGAAACAAGACCTGCTTTTCCTCATTTTAGAATACTGTCTATCGGTGTGGATGATCAAATTGATAAAAGCCAAGAAAAAATTACGTTATAGCACAAAAGTAAGCTAATTTGATCGTCTTCAAAGATGCTATGGCTATTTCACTGTTCGAATCGAGCCGAACTACGCGGGTCGCCATTTTGTTTTGCCCGGAAGTTCTCGCAAGATCTACTCCTCCCCTCTCTCTCTCTCTCTGTCTCTTTCTGAATACTGTCTATCGGTGTGGACGATCAAATTGACCAAAACAAAGTTAAAAAATGATGTCAAAACACAAAAGTAAATTAATTTGGTTGTCTACAAAGATGCTACGGCTATTTAACTTTTCGAATCGAGCAGAACTACGCGGGTCGCCATTTTATTTTGAGTTTTGACCAGAAGTTCTCGCGCTACTCCTCTCTCTCTCTCTCCACAGCCCACATACAAAATTGGGCGCTTTTTCGGTAGTCCCCACCCCCCTTATTTGATAGAGCCTGACCTACGTCTAGATCTATATATATATACGTTTGATTCGCGGCAAGCTAAGATGTCAAACCTAACAACTGCAAAACATTAAATTGTGGTAAAATTCAGGATGCCCCCCTGAAACCCCCCACCTTGTTTTTATTAGGTCAGGGGGGCAAGCCCCCCTGAAACCCCCCTACTCTTGGGGCCAAAACCGGCGAATAACAAATGCGGGGTGGGAACTACCGAAAAAGTTTCAAAAAGCGCCCAAAATTGTACGCTTTTAGTAGACTACAGTTGTAATGGAACGTTTGTTCACGGCACAGAATACTACAATTTTTCTGTTATCACAGTGTAGAATTCTGTGGTTTAGGGTGAACGCAAAAATTGTTGGCCTAGATCTAGGCTATAACGGTGAACGCGCACCGGGTGAGAATAGCCAAAAGACTCGCCTGCACTATTCTCATCCCGGGTGAGAATAGAGAGGTGGCCTAACAACACTAACACACAGGCCACAGTGACAGTAGAACCAGCAGTTCGCTAATTGTATGGCAACGCACATATACTCGTCCTCAGTCAAACAAAAAAAAAGAACATAAAAACTAGAATCTAGCTGTCCATCAACACGCTTGCAATTCAATTGGAAGAAAGCATCATCATTATCGGATAGTGCAGCAATTGAGGATTGTCCTGGTTTGTTTACGTTTATCGAAGATCACTTCCGCCCAGCACACAAAATGCGATAAAATCAAACGTGGAATCCAATCCGACCTGCAATTATTGTTCTGAGCCACTGAAGAATCAACAGGAAGTAAACATTGCACCCGTGCTTGACTTGACTCTACTTTCACTTCAGTTTTGCCATCGCCCGGTTCCTTACTCCTTACATTTACCACTTTTAGGCTTCGCCTCATCATTGTTGTGTTAGGCTTGGGTCGACGATTCTCAGAGACAAAGTAGGTTATGTGGCACCTTGATAGTGACTCTGACTCTGTCATGGCTATTGGAATTGTGGGCAAGTTTAAGTCCACAATCCATGTTTACATCCAGAGAAGTAATCCAGAAGTCTTGGTCTTGATGACCAAAAATAGGCTATGTACACCAAGAGCAGAGAAGCAGTCTAACTGCGAACATGCCCTCCTGAACCCCCCCCCCCCCCCTTTCCATATTTTTATTAGGTCAGGAGGAGGGCAAGCCCCCCTGAAACCCCCCTACTCTTGACTTAAACGAACGAAACTACAAAGTCGCCTGAGACCTGAGATCTACGTGACACAGCAGACACAGTACACTACTCTAGAAATCTATCTAGATTTAGATCTAGAATCTAGATCTAGATCTAGATCTAGATCTAAATCTAGATATAGATTCTGGATCTAGATCTAGATATTAGATTCTAGATCTCGATCTAATCTTGGGGCTGTTCTACACAAACAGTGAGCCACCCCCTGCATTCGTCTCTCTCTCTCTCTCTCTCTCTCTCTCTCTCTCTCTCTCTCTCTCTCTCTCTCTCTCTCTCTCTCTCTCTCGCTCTGGTCCCTCTCTCTCTCTCTCTCCCTCTCTCTCTCTCTC